CTGTGTAAGTTTACTGTTACAGCATATGCTTGTATATTTCGAGTCGTTAGTTTCAAGTTTATTATTAGTGAACTTGGCTTGTGTCAGTGTATGCCCTTATGCTGAATTGAGCCTAAAGTAACGTTGAGCAGATGATTTACCACTGCCTGCACGATGAATTAGTGCCCGACGCCCGCCCACTCACTCAGCTATCACTATACGAGCTGCGACGCTTTTGTCAGTTTTCTACGAATAATAGTCGTCCGGAGCACGGATGAATTACACCGAAGACCGTATACGGTGTTCACAATTTTAATTATGCACCTTCACAGCTATTCCTCATTGTCATTTCATGACTGAACCGTGAACGTGAAGTGAAAAAGTTATATTGTGTGCTCCATTACAAAATGTGCATCATTCTTGAATGATTCTTTGTCGCTTTATTGCAAGATGCCCGCCCCTGCCCTAAAACTTGAAGCCGATGAATAGGTGCTCAAGAAACTTGAGTTGTAAACGAGCGATTCGAGTTGATAAGCCAACACTTTCAACCACTTTCTGTGTAGTCTAGCCTCTTTTATGCCTTTTGTCAACTGCCTTGTGAACAACATGTTTAAAACATGTTTGTTCCAGTATGCTCGAGAGGTCGTGGTTTGACGGGTTACGGACTCTAGCAAAGCCAAAATCCGTCAATGTTCGGTAAATATTAATTTTCAAGTTTCAACCAACTACAGCTGAAATCGGTGAGTCATGTGGCCAAAATTGGACAATAAGGATAATTCACTGATTCATATAGCATATTCGAGGTGTGGCCTTAAAGCAATGAAGAGCAAATGAAGAGTATAACGCCTTTTGGGGCGACTAACGGAGCGAGCGAGAGGGTGAGCCTTGTACGTGCGAAATTTCGACGGGGTACCTCCAGCTGACTTGTGCACGGCACCCTACTAACCGGTCTCTAGCGATGTGCCAAATTTGAGCACAATCGGCCCAGCCGTTCTCGAGATCTGGAAGCGGCACCCTGCACGTGCGCACGTGCAAAATGGGTCCCAACTGACTTTTGCACGGAACCCTACTAACCGGTCCCTAACCATGTGCCAAATTTGAGCGCCATCGGTCCAGCCGTTCTCGAGATCTGGAATCGACCCCTGCACGTGCGCACGTGCAGCAGCACCCCAATTCTGGCACATGGATATGCATTGCCTAGTGGGTGCCTACCTACATGCCAACTTTCAGCGCAATCGGCCAAGTAGTTACCGAGATATTGCAACAATTACAAAACTGACACCTCTTCGTTTTGCACGTGGCACGTGCATAAGGGGCCACCCACAATCCACATGCATCGGGAATAGTCCAATGCTTGGAAGAAGGAATGAAACTACCTTACAAAATTAAGTATATAAATTGACAAGTGTTGCTGAGCGTATAGGAAGGCCTTAAATTAATTATTATTAATCATTAATTAATAAATTAATCATGTTTTAGCATAGCCCATGAATAAGCAATAAACGCGAAACGTCGGGCAAAAAACCTCAATTTTTAAACATTAGCTTTAGTCTTAGTTTAAAACAAATGAACAATAATTAATTTAAGGCCTTCCTATACGCTCAGCAATACCTTACAAAAATTACCGCATGTAAATCGGTCAAGTGGTTGCTGAGATATAAGCGTCGCAGAATCGTGACCACGGCCGGCCGGCCGGCCGCTCATACTCAGAAATTTCCGTTAATCTAATATAAGGAAAGACTACGCCAGTAAAACGCCTTTTGGGCGAAGAACGAGCGAGCGAGGTAGTGAGCCCTGCACGTGCGGAAGGGCGAGAGGGTGCTTCCAATGGGCTTGTGCAAAGCACCCTTCTAACCGGTCGCTAGCGGTGTGCCAAATTTAAACGCAATCGGCCCAGCCGTTCCTGAGATCTGGAAGCGGCATTTTGCACGTGCGCACGTGCAAACGGGGTCCAAAATGACTTTTGCACGGCACCCTACTAACTGGTCCCCAACCGTGTACCAAATTTGAGCGCAATCGGCCCAGCCGTTCTCGAGATCTGGAAACGCCCCCTGCACGTGCGCACGTGCAGTAGCACTCTAACCGCAACACATGGGAATGCATTGCCTGGTGGGTGCCTACCTGTATGCCAAGTTTCAGCGAAATCGCCCCAGTAATTACCGAGTTACTGAAATGGGAACAAATTTGGCACCTCTTATTGTTGTATTTTGCACGTGCACTGGGGGTGACCCACATACATCGAGAGTATCCTATTTTGGGTAGAAGGGATGCTGCTACCCTACAAAAATTACCGCAAGTCAATCGCCCAAGCGGCTGCTGAGATATGAGCCTCTCAAAATCACTACTTTTGCAAAACAGCTTGAACACCCTTGACTTTTCACGTGGCACGTGCCACGACGGTCACTGAGATGCATCAAAAGTAGTCAATTACGGGGTAGAAGGGATGGGGCTACCCAACAAAAAAGACCGCAGGCCAATCGGTCCAGTGGTTGCTGAGATATAAGCCTCTCAAAAGCGTTACAGGCCGGGCCGGGCCGGGCCGGGCCGCTCATACTGAGATTTTTCCGTTATATTGAAAAGACTCACTTCGCTCGCTGCGCTCGCTCGCTCGTAATAAGGAAAGACTACGCTCGCTTCGCTCGCTTTGTAAAAAATAGATTGAACAGATGGTTCTTGTGTGGGAGTGCATGAGACCAAACAATCACGAGCGACGCTGATTATTTTCGTTAAAAAATAAGACTTGAATCAGCGGTGACGTCTGAAAAGTGCAAAGTGAAAAGTAAAAAATAGCGTCTGTTGTGAAGTAAGTTACATAATCTTAATAATAAATATTCCAATAACTATTCAATTACAGTTATATCGTTCTTTTGTTAGCAGTGCGATACACAATAGTGTGAAACTAATCTTCAAGCATCGTTCAATCGTCTAAGCACGATCGACATCTGTCTTTTCATTAACTCCGGTGAGTACGTCCATGCTCAAATTAGTTATAGATAGTGAATTTGTTTTATTATTAGACATGCATAAATGTGTCAGGACTGATGCGACGTTGCGCATCACCTAAACAATAAATCGTGTTGCGGGGTGTTCTACAGATATACAACATGCCTTGTTTGTTCTCAAGTCGTAAAATGCCAGTCCCCCCCCCCGCATACTTGAGTCAAAATAACTTATTAATAATAATGAAAAACGTAATATTAACAGATATACCAATTAGCTACCACAGAACACATGCATTACGACTGATGTGTTGGACGTTGGTGGGTATGTACTAACCTCATTGTGGTCCCAATCTTGTGTTTTACCTACAGCACTGTCTAGGTCTACCAGCAGCCTCAGTGTCTATTAATCAAAGTCACTCTTAAGTTTTATTATGCATGACTGATGACATAATGTAAATATCCATATTTAATCTGACGGATTGTTTCCTATCTTGGTTTCAAAGTATGGCAATATGTTCTATTAAATGTCACAATTAGACATCGGTAGTAGTTTTGTGTGGACGTTTAACTCGAACGATATAATCATTTCAATTAAACTATCGTTCGATATGTTCGAATTCTCAGGGTATCTGCCAGCTCCGGCGTTATGATGTCAATATAGGTGTAAATTGCAGCGTGCAGGCGAAATTTCAGACGATGCGGTTTAGTTAAGCTTGCGTTAAACTTAACATAATAAACAAAGTGTTGTATTGGGAATGTCATGCATTTTCATATTGAATAGCTGACCCAGGCATAATTGGTAAACAATCAATTCAACAGCGACGAAGGTAGTTACGCATAGCTCTGTCTAATTCTGAGTATGATATGTTATGCAGCAAAAACTGATGAGCATAATGTGTCGGCTTACCACAGTGAGGAATCGCTCGGTTTACTTCAAACATAATAAATACGCATCAAACACACGACACTTGCAATACTGATATATAATATCACTTGATACGCACAGTTTCTCAGTGCGGCTACTGAGTTTTTCAGTTGTCTTTCGTCCTCTGTGACTGTGGTGGCGTTGAGTACGTCTACGTAAACAGTGTCACTGCGCAGGCCGGCCAGCTGGCAGCTGTAGTTGCCAGAGTCGGCGGCGGTCGCGTTGCGTACCGTCAGCAGGCTGCAGAGCGGGCCGCTGTCGACGCTGGCGCGGCCGTCGGCGGCCTCCGACACGGGCTCACCGTCTCGGGTCCACGTCGGCGGCCGGTCGGTGGTGTTGGCCACGCAGCTGAGCTGCAGCGGCCGGCCGCCGTGCGCGTGCCGCCGCCGCGGACCGCTGATGACCACCCGCTGTGGAGAGAGCACCGTCAGCCGCACCAGCTGCCGGTTCGGGTGTTCGGGAGCCTCAGGCGTCTCGTAGATGGCACTGCACTGGTACAGGCCCGAGTCGGTGACGCGGGTGCGCGGTATGGCCAGCACCCAGTGCGGGGACGGTCGGGTGGCGTTCATCAGGTGGTAGTGCGCCTCGCTCACGTGCACAAACGAGTTGACGGTCATGGCGATCTGGCGCGGCCGCGGCAGGTCCACTCGCACCCAGGCGGTGCTGCTGCGGCGCGAGTCCATGCGGCAGCTCATAGTGGCCAGCTGGCCCTCCTCGACCACCAGGTGACTGGAGACGGGCCCGGCCGGGCGCGGCTCGCAGTGGGTCACCGGCGGCTGCTCGTCGCCCTCCAGGTGGCAGGTGGCGGCACAGGCCAGCACGAGCGCCGCCGCCGCCGTCGGCCACCACATGACACGTCCGCTGATCACCGGCGCCTGGTCGGACCGGCCGACCGCTGGCCAAACGGCCCACTGCCACCGAGTCCGTCTTGTTTGGACGGCGGCGCTGCGTCGCGTCGGCTGGGCGGCCGCCGGCCGTGTGGCAAGCGGCCGCGGCGGCTGCGGTCGGCGCGTGATGCCAGTTGCGTCGCCACTGCCCCGCCTCCGTCCCGGCGCCGGGTCGGCTTGGCACGCGGCTCAGAGCACAGAACGGCGCGCTGCGGCTCGTCCGGCCAGCCCACGGCCAGACCGCAGTTTATTTACTCAATAGTGTGACGGCGGGGCTTTGAAACATTCGCACCGGCTACATAAATGCCGTGTCGTGATGACTGTGGACGGTCCATAAGATCAAATGACTATAAAGTGGTCCGCCTGGCTGACATTGGAGTCAGACAATTGCACCAGCCCGCGTTTTCTCCACGACGCATTAAATTCTTGACATCCTGCAGAGACAACTTGTGACCTCAGTATAATTTCCAGAGTCTGACATTCTGACGGACCTAGTGTTTATTTTCATGCAGTGGACACCCGCCCATTAGCACCAGTGACCTTCCAGCATCAGCATATCGTCGTGATTTGTAATAGGTACTACCATTAATGAATTGTGGTATCATGCATCGCGCGACGGATATGCATGCAGTTATATGCAACATGTGATGCCACTGTAGGACGTAGGTCAAACTCAGCACATACTACGGTTATTAAGAAATCGCTTCCTAAAACCATCGGCCATCGAATCAGCGTCATGTGTTAGGAACGAAACGCACACTTTCGGAAGTGCGGCATGTTGAGGGGATGATCTGACCTTGTGAGAGGGTGCCGCGCGGTATGCTTTGTCTGGGGCGACCGGCCAGCCGGGCGCCCCCGCTCCGGATGCCGACTAATGCCATCATTGCGTCCGCCGTCAGAACTGATAGATGCATCCTGGTTACATCAGTGATCGTAAATGACCTTTTTACCGGCACGTGGCTGTCGGATCCATCGGAGAGCACGGCCCTACTTCGATGCAGACTGGCTTTGGCTGTCGCTGCTTGATTGAGAATGTGTAATGTGCATACTGCATATCTGCTGTAACGGTGTGCCGTGGATTTTGTTTTGTTTTTATTTGTTTTGTTATCAGTAGAAATGACCGATCGTTGAAAATGTCATCTGGAAAACATTCTGATTGTTTAAGAGCTCATATTGTTGCGCCCAAGGTGAGCACTTAGCAGAAAGCTCGTACTAGTAGGTATGCCTGCGAAGCGGCTTCCGTCCCAAGTGGCCTGCGTTTCGTAAGGTAACCTGGTCCGTGTCTTCTATTTCCAGGGCTCAGAACCGTTCACCATGTCTAAGATCGGAATCAACGGCTTTGGGCGTATCGGCCGCCTGGTGCTGAGGGTGGCTGTCGAAAAGGGTGCTCAGGTAAGTGGGGCTATCCTGGGGCTGGAGTTGGGCATCCCTCAACAGTTGTCCGGTGAAATATCCAATTCACTTATTTTGAAGACTGAAATTTTGCATGCGAATTGTTCATAGTCGAGCTAAGTACTGCTCATAGCAGCACTGCTTGATTGAAATACGTACCTCAATCGTAACGACATAATGCATGGGCAAAAATAATGTAGCAATTAACCCCCAGTTCAGGTTCTATAGATATACTTTGAATTGGCTGAAACGCTGAAACCAAGTGAACCAAAGCTCTAGCTTTAGTTGTAAATATTTTGGGAATTTATTCTCGAAAAGCAGTGCGTCACTAAGTCGCTTCTCGGCATTGATTCAGGTGCAAGCGCATTTCTGAAGTATTCATTTGTCGTATATACTATATACGAATATTACAGTGCTGGGAAAAATAGAACATGTTAAATAAATGGAATATGACGATGTCCCCCCCCCCCCCCGCAAAAAAATCGATGCTTTCTTTTTTTGCACAGAAAAAGTCCTGCGGGACATGCAGCAACTAGAGATTGCTAATCACCTTCATTCCATGGCACATGACAATGCACATACGCAGTCCGTCTTCTTTGTGTAATCATTCAGCAGATCACGGCGCAGCACTGCACATCCGTGTGGGTTTATGGTGAGCGGGCACGTGGCCTGTCCAAACGAGGCCCCGCTCCTGGCCAGTGCGTTCCACTGACGCCGACTGGCAGTGACCGCCAACGCCTACTCTAACTAATGACCCGACCTTGTGCAGCCGGCGGCGGCCCTTGTCCCGACCAGCCTCAACTGCGCCGCGGATGATTCGCTACGCCACAGCTCTGGCTGCGCACGACGCTCACCGGTCCACGGGGCTGACGTGTGACTGTACTTAGAGGGGGGCCGGGACGGCGCCGTGTCCGACTGGGACAGCGGGCCGGGCGGAGCGGGGGCCGGGGAGTGTGGGAGGGGGAGGCGCTCCCTCAGCGATCCCCAGGGAGTCCGGCTGCCGTATACTGAGGCCGGGCGCCGCCCGCGGTCACTGCTGGCCTCTGTCCGGGTCCCCAGGTTCGCGCTCCAAGTGTGCCTGACCGTTGGGTGTGCCGCGGCTGTCAGCCGGGTCGCGTGCCGCCCATATACAAAACGGTGTTTTGCTTACACAGCTGGCGTCGTTTGGAGTTTTGATGGTGTGTAGGACTGCTTGTACCTACTGGTTCTGGGCCATTTTCTCGAAGGTTTCACGACGGTTCAGCGTGATCACAACGCAGTTAGATGACTCACGCTTATAGCTGAAATTTTGTGCGACGCCGACCGAGGATAATTAGCCAGAATAGCACTCTTACCTATGTGAATCGCAATTTGCAGTGTTGCGGTCAAACTATCAAACTAAGTTGCTCTCAGGCATTAGTACCAGTATAACGCCTTTTGGGGCGACTAACGGAGCGAGCGAGAGGGTGAGCTTTGCACGTGCGAAGTTTCGACGGGGTACCTCCAGCTGACTTGTGCACGGCACCCTACTAACCGGTCCCTAACTGTGTACCAAATTTGAGCGCCATCGGTCCAACCATTCTCGAGATCTGGAATCGACCCCTGCACGTGCGCACGTGCACGCACCCCAACTCTGGCACATGGATATGCATTGCCTAGTGGGTGCCTCTGCCTACCTACATGCTAACTTTCAGCGCAATCGGCCAAGTAGTTACCGAGATATTGCAACAATTACAAAACTGACACCTCTTCGTTTTGCACGTGGCACGTGCATAAGGGGTCACCCACATGCATCGGGAATAGTCCAATACTTGGTAGAAGGAATGAAGCTACCCTCAAAAATTACCCCATGTAAATCGGTCAAGTGGTTGCTGAGATATAAGCGTCGCAGAATCGTGACCACGGCCGGCCGGCCGGTCGGCTGGCCGCTCATACTCAGAAATTTCCGTTAATCTAAGGAAAGACTACGCTCGCTTCGCTCGCTCCGTAATAAGACAGATGAATGCGGAAACAATTATGCGAAAACCAACGAATTAAGACGTGTAGCCTTTGTTTGAATTTTTATAGCTTTATAGTTGCTGCTATAAAATTTGTAGTTGCTATAAAGGAAAATTTATAGTTGCTTCTGTTTTACGAGATAAAACACAGTTAAAACACTTGGACGATTGACAGCGAAGCGCAGCGACCTGCATGTTGTGTATTTTCTTTTTATCAGCCATTCTAAGTTACGATTACCACGATACCACTGCAAAGCTGCATGCCTGTATTAGTCAACGTACAAGCATGTGATGTTCACAAGATTTCGCTGTCCTCGAAAAGTCGAGAAATGTAACTGTGTTCGCGGTGTTGTGTCCCGGGCCCTGCGCCCTGGCGTAGCCGTGACCTTGCACGACCTTGACCGGCCGGGCCCGGCGGCCGCCCGAGCGGCTGGGGTCAGTATCGTTCGAGCGTGGTCTGAGCGGCGCGGTACAGGTGTGGTGGCGCGGAACGATGCGTGTTTGCCGAGACGGTCCAGGCGCGGTCCTGCAGAACACGCGGTAAAATACGACGTTGGCATGAGTGACTAGAGTCCATACTACTAAGCTCGCATATCGGGCTGTGGTCCTGGCTCCATCACAAGTGTCTTCTGCTGAGAGAGCTCGTCATGAATTCGTTACGTGCACCAGTCGCCGAGGGTTTGCGAAGTTTGATGTGTGCTGTCCATAAGACGTGCACTGCATGCTCCAGAGAAGTAAATCCTTTTCGCTCACAGAATCCCCCGAGATGAACTCGGGCGTCCGCACTGTTCCGTGGAATTATTCAGAAGGTCACTTATGTAAGAGCTTTAACTTCCGAGGGAGGAATGCCTTCCTCGTGTGACTTCTTGAAGTTAACAGTTGGTTTCGGTTGTCTGACGCGTTGTATCGTATGCTGCAGGTCGTTGCCATCAACGATCCGTTCATCACTCTGGACTACATGATCTACATGTTCAAGTACGACTCCACCCACAGCCGCTTCAAGGGAGAGGTCAAGATCGACGGCGAGTACCTCGTCGTGAACGGTAAGCGTCCGCGCACTGTTTCCGTCATGTGAACTTCTGTTCCCAAAGGAGTCGTGTATGATAAACTTGAGCATTGCGTTGAAATCGGCGGCATTACTGTAGGGAGAGTTATGCAATATGTATCGATAGTACCCGCTGTGATTCTGCAATCGCAGCAGGCACGTGACTCGTCCAATCCCGACAGGAATGCGCATCGCCGTGTTCAACGAGATGAAGCCGACGGAGATTCCGTGGTCGAAGGCGGGTGCCGAGTACGTGGTCGAGTCCACCGGCGTGTTCACCACCGTCGAGAAGGCCAGCGCGCACCTGGAGGGCGGCGCCAAAAAGGTGGTCATCTCGGCGCCCTCGGCCGACGCGCCCATGTTCGTCGTCGGCGTCAACCTGGACGCCTACAAGCCCGACATGAAGGTGGTCTCGAACGCCTCGTGCACGACCAACTGCCTGGCACCGCTGGCCAAGGTGATCCACGACAACTTCACCATCGTGGAGGGCCTGATGACCACCGTGCACTCGACCACGGCCACCCAGAAGACGGTGGACGGACCCAGCGGAAAGGTGGGACGCAGTCTGCTTTTTTGTGGCGTGATGTGTGCGTAAAGAGGCATCCCCGTTGATATTGCTGTGTTCTTTGCATGATATGCTTCCACAAAATTTCAGCTGAATCCTTCACTGCTGATGACGGTGTGTGCAGAGGTCTGGACTGGTTTCTCTCCACCCCGTCTCACTGTGTCCCCCGTTCCGTCGGCAGAGCTGGCGTGACGGCCGCGGCGCTGGCCAGAACATCATCCCGGCGGCCACCGGCGCCGCCAAGGCCGTCGGCAAGGTGATCCCCGACCTGAACGGCAAGCTGACCGGCATGGCGTTCCGTGTGCCCACGCCGGACGTCTCGGTGGTGGACCTGACGTGCCGGCTCGGCCAGGAGGCCACCATGGACGACATCAAGGCCAAGATCCGCGCGGCCGCAGAGGGACCGCTGAAAGGCATCCTGGGCTACACCGAGGACGAGGTGGTGTCTCAGGACTTCCTCGGCGACTCCCACTCGAGCATCTTTGACGCCAAGGCCTGCATCCAGCTGAGCGGCACGTTCGTGAAGCTCATCTCTTGGTGAGTCGATGGAGTAGTCGGATCAGACCGGCCGGAGCTAGGTTTGGGACGTGTGAGGGATGTTTGTAGGCATAGCGATATCCAGTAATTTTGTTAAAAGCGTTAATCCTGATGAGCATTATAAGTGCTTGCAATTGGATTGGTTCAGTATTGAACGATGCATCATCTAATGATTGATATTTGTTGCCCGGCAGGTACGACAACGAGTGGGGCTACTCCAACCGTGTGGTGGACCTCATCAAGTTCATGCAGACCAAGGACAAGTAAGCCGCAGACGGGCCAGCAAGCGACTGCGCCCTCTGCATCTAACAACCTGTGCGCTGGACGCTATCTAACACTCGGTGTGGTAGCTTGGTGTTAACTAACACATTTTAGGACGGTTGCGGTGCATGGACTGACGCTTCATAGACAGTAGTTGTGTTAAATTGATGATGTTGGTTAATATAGGATTCTGTTGAACCTGCATGTTTCCTTGCTTTTGGGTAGCTCAGACGGCGCTTCGCACTAACCATGGGTGACGGGATGTCGACTCTGGCTTAAAACAGACACTTCAGGAAGGATATGTATTCAGTTCAACAAACAACACACCAATAACACAGTCGGGTCACGCAGTAAGTATCCGCAGTTCTCTACACAGCGGGGCGGCTCGGCGCGCTCCCGTCCCTCGCTCCTCTGTTATTGCGCGAGCGCTCCAGTTTCTACCAGACGGCGGGCATAGGGAGCGGCTACCTACGCGCCTCTATCCCTACCCCGACGGCTACCCAGCCGGCCGCGGCGGCTCTCTATACGGTCCCGTATCGGTGTGGTGCGCGCTGCCGACGCCGACCAGCGGCCGTCAGACAGCCGACTGCACCAGACAGCTGCGCACGTCGAGCGCTCACGACCAGCGTGGCGCAGAGAAACACAGCAGCCGTCAGAAAACAGTGGGCCGCGCACTGAAACTAAACCCGTATCCGTGTGGCCCTTCGGTACAAATGGCGCGTTACTGTTAGTGCGGTCGGCTTTGAGGAAGAAGTCGGGGGGGCCAGCTGTAAGGTAATTCCACCCTGTTTTCGCGTGACCTTTGTCATAATACCTCCGGCCTGTTTTGTCATAAGCACCATCAATGTGTATTTGGAATGTAAATTGTTTCCTACTTGTCCTCTGCCAAACAAGCACTTTTACTCAAATGGTACTGGGCGACCCGTTTTGGAGTAGACCCAGCTAAAAAAAACGATAAATGTTTCGCGTAGTTCTGAAGTCATTTTAATCCTTCATTACCTACCTTACATTAGTCAACTAGGATATCAATTGTTTACAGGAACTGACCAGTTCTTTTCCAACGTTATGCTTTTTCACGTGAAGCCGTCAGCTCCTACACCACGTAACTCGGCCACACAAAGACCAGCCCTCCAACAATCTAGGCTAGGACATGATCAAAGTTATCAATTGCGCGTGGGCTGTGCGCTTTATCCAAGCTACGTTATAATTAACCACTGGCACCGCTGTCCAACAGATGATGACTTGTCTGTAGCGTCAACAAATAACACTCGAGATCAACTGCAAAACAACCTATGGAACACACTAATTGTACAGGCCGATCTGGCTACGGCTAAGTTTCTACCTATGACCTGCCGATTTTTGCCAATATGCAGGCATTTTAAGCAGTACTAAAGAACAACGCTATTGTGTCCATATTATGGTCAATACGTGGCAAACTCGATACATAACTACCAACTGCCATGTGTTCAGTTATCAACCGGTCGGGGTGAGGTCCCAATGCAGAATTCCTGCGACAAAGAAAGCGCTCATGGCTGAGCCTGTCGGCCGTCTCGACTCTCGGCGCCCATTTCAGGCTGGAATGTCACACTGGGAATGGCACGTTCCGTCAGCCTGTCTCGCACAAAACTGACCCCTGCAGCACGCACAGCGTCTCCCCGATACCGACACCGCGCTCAAAAACATCCGCGGGCCCGGCGTTCGTCAATATCGATACACGAGATCGGAATCTGAGTCCGTCTGCCGTCCCTGGGAGACCACAACATCGCGGGGCCGGCCCGACACACAACGGCCCGGCCCGCGTGTAACCTGCCGCCGGCTTCCCGTGTAAGGCTGCTTCTCAGGCACTGTGATAATGTCGCAGCTCGGGTAAGTGCTCAGACAACAAACAAGGCACCTTTGGGAGCAGGACACCGCCGATCTCCGTCCAAAAACCACCAATATTTACAACAAAGTGCGCACCGCCGCACCGCACCGAGGGCAAGGCAGGGGGCCAGGGCGCCGCGCCCCGACAACAGTCGACCCCCCGAGGCACTTGTGGGACTACAGACGTCACGCCACGGGCTGGGTGCTGGGAGTACAGTTCCCTACTAGCACCGGACAGAAAAGTTACAGGACAACACTGTCGATTACGCACTTCACTTGCGGTACCATGAAAAAGTGTGGGTAAATGTTGGCGGCTTTATCATTTGAATGCAACTCTTGTGTGGCTGGAAAGACAGGATAGCACAGAAATGAGCTATCTATAGGCCAGAGGGTGCAATGACGGGTGGCACACAGGTGAGTTGTGCGTAACCTCCAGCAATAACGTCGGGCCGTGGCATGGCACTATAATCATTCGTCTCTAATGGTCTCGCCTACACGCGACGCCATACGCGGTAAGACCATGCACCGCCGGCGCTCAACGAGAAACCCGCCGCCTTGGCCAAACTGAACCACTGGTCTGCCAATTCTGGTTTTCAAAAACGCTTACCGCCATTCCAGATTAAGATTCAAACAGCAGAGTTTTCAGCCAGGTGCAGCTGATGTCCCTCCGTTCTCCGTCTGTTTGTCGTTTCGTCGTCTGCTCGTCCGTCTGTTCGTCTTTCCTTCCGTCTACCCGTCTGTCTGTCCGTCGGCCTGAGGCACTACCCAGTCCGTCACTCGGTCCGCTCCCAGGCTGTCTGTCACTCGGTCCGCTCTCAGACTAGCTGCGAGTTCCAGTGAGTCGGTCCGCCGCTCAGAGCAACGAGTCCCAGTGACTGTATCCGCACTGACCGAGTCCGAGCCATTCGGTCTGCAATCTGCGAGTCCCAGTGACTGTTCAGTGTCCACCCCTGAGAGCAGTGAGTCCCAGTGACTGTCTTATCTCAGAGCAGTGAGTCGGGTCTCAGAGCAGCGAGTCCCAGTCGTACTCGCAGTCAAAGTCGTCGGCCAGCTCGGCCGGCTGCAGCGCCGTGGAGCTGCTGACGTGTGGGCTGAGTGTGGTCAGGCTCTGCAGCTCCTCGCGCTCGATCTTGAGCCCGCTCGGCGCCCCCTCATCCGGTACCTCGTTGATGGTCACCGTGGCGCCGGAGCCGTGGTTGCGGAGGGACAGAGACGAAGAGAGGAAGCTGGAGCCCAGGTTGAGATCGGCGGCCTGCGCGGCCAGCTGGGGGCCGGGCCCCGAGTCGGTGCCGGCGGTGGGGGCGGCGGTGACGGCCGTGGCGGTGGCGGTCGGCGGCACGGCGGTGGTGGTGGCGATGGTGGTGCCCTCGTACGGCAGCGGGCTCGGCTCGGGCGCCGTCTGCTCCGGCTGGTACGTCTGCCAACGCAGGGGACGCTGCTGAGCCGACGGCGGCACAGAGCGGGATCGGGGCCATCGCTCTCAACCAACACACAAGTCTCCCGTCTGATGCTCGTATTTTCCCTGCTTCTCACGGCTTGCAATCCCACCATTTATCCCCCCTACAATCGCGCCCGGCGGGCGGTCTCACCTGGAATGCGCTGGCGTGCTGGGTGCTCTGCACGGTGTAGGGCGCCAGCAGGGCGGCCAGGCTGTCGGGGAACTCCTGGGCGTTGTGCGCGATCACCTGCGCCAGGTCAGCTGGCGACAGCAGCGACTGTAGCGACTCCATGGCGTTGATGTCGCTGGCGCTGATGGCCAGACACGGAGCTGCGGAGAGGGACACGGGGCGTGCTTAGAGGCTGGTCAGACGGCGAGTGACGTGGACAGGCGCGCAGATAGCATGCGTCGCTAGAATGTTTAGTGGGACGAATGCATTGGCAGGGAAGGGTGAGTACTGATAAGGTGCATAAAATTCACGCCTCAAGTATTGCTTAGTTTCGAAATAAGTTTTCTATCAACTGGTTGAATGAACACTACGACGAAGACGTTTTACGTACAATTAACTCGTATTCATTGAAATAAGTCGCCAAGTTTGTCCGCTGGCTTTCTGGTCCACTTTTTCATTCACCTGCGCTGGTCCACTCCACTTACCTGTCATGTCCGTCTCGGCGGCGATGGGCGCGGCCGCTACCGCCGCCGGCTCCTGGTGCCACGACTGGCCCACCACCCACAGAGGGTCCGCCTGACTGTGCTCCTGCCCGGGCGGCGCCGGCGCGTAGCCCACCGTGCCCACCGTGTCGGCAGAGACGGGCACCGGTACCGACAGGGGGTCGGCCAGGGAGACGGGTAGCGCCACCGACACGGGCAGGGGCGCCGCGCCCGGCACCGGGGGCGCCGCCGAGCCCGGATGGGCGCCCGCCAGGGAGGCGGGCACCGGCGGCGGAGGTACGCGCTTCTGCGGCGGCGGTGGAGGGTACGGCGAGTACTGCGGGGCGAAGAAAGAGGTGGTTAGGACGTTTATTATTTGCGGGGCATGATCCTGGTAAAAGCAGTAGTGTACCTATACGTGATTTGCATTACTGGGTCAAGCATGAGCGTGGTGGTCGCAGGTTATATGCTATACATTCCCGTAAATTAAGTCCATAAAAAGTGATATTCTTTCTTGCCCATGAACTAGTTTTCAGCCATTCCATTGTAGCCTTTTTAGCCCCCATATGAAATTACGAAATGAACGAAAGTGCAATTTTCCCGGCACCGGTTGAACTCATTCCTTCTTATCTGCACCGTCTACATGGCCACTGCAAAACTCAGCTTCAAGGAACTACGTCATGTTGTCAATGAATGATGACGTGACATGGCATGGACGATATGCGCTCCACGAATCCAGCTGTGGCACCTGTCCACTGACCCTGGTGCCGGCGTGTTTCCGCTTCTTGGAGGAGCCGGCCTCGTCAGGGTTGTGCGTGGGGTCGATGGCCCAGTAGCTGCCCTTGCCCGGGTCATCTTTGGTGCGAGCCACCTTCACAAAACACTTATTGAGCGACAAATTGTGACGGACGGAATTCTGAAACAGAAAAAAACGGATAGGTCATTGCGCGGTCAATGCAGTGGCGGCGGAACACCCTCAATTAAGGGGGGGGGGGGCACTGCCGACTTTTGGTGCCATTCTTTCCACATGCAACATCCATAGGGCTAATGTTGAAATGCCAAAATCAAAGGGAGGCACGGTGTCCCGGTGCGGCCCCTCTCCCCCCCCCCCCCCTCCGTTCCGCCGCCTATGGTCACGCCGTGCAGATAATAACATTTAAAACCTGTCGATTAAAGCAGTAAGGCTTTGGTCAGCATCAATTTGACTGGTAAATGAAGCAAGCCTTAGTCGCTAATCCAGGACCAAGTGGAACTTTCTGGTAAAAATTTCTCGGCAAGAATGTGCGTGACTAGCGTGCAGACTGGATTTACGCAGCAAATTAGACCGCTCTATTTTAGCGCTCCGTCCAGCATTGCAGACGGCAAATGGCGGCCTCGCTCCAGAATGCGTACAGCAGGTAATTAGGTACATTTTTATCACGTGCCATCATGGCTGTGGCTCGGTTGTTGGTGCGTTCTGCAGACCAGTATATTCTATATTTGCCCCGGCTAATGTCCGAATGGCGTTCTGCAGTGCCGTCTGCGCCCCATTCGGTTAATGTGCTCGCGGCGCGCCGTTCTCCACCGTCAGTAATGCAAATGTCAAACGGCCACCAGTGCTACAGTGATGTATGTGGGATCGGCATGTGCTGCGCATTGTGTCCTGTTCATTGTATCCTGTGCCACCGGCGGACTGCGGCTGCAGCTCGGAAATCCGCCGTGACGTTGAAGAATGCGTTCAGCCACATTGCTCCTTTTCAATAGATTTAATTGATTAAGTAGCTTCAAGCTTGCCAAGCGTGTCGTTTTGGTCGGCTGTGTGCCCTTGATTTGTGAGGATTTGAAGACAATGCTGTGCTATGCTGAGAAGATAGCAGTGCCCCATTCCTTGCCCGATCAACCTTGAGGCATTTATCATCTTTCATTCAGCTGCCGTACCTACTATAATTAATGAGACTGATGACTAAGCACTGCAGGGCTTAGGTTCGATCTTCTACTGGTCCAGCGGAAATCAGGAAGTTCTGCGTTTTTCAGGAAGCCTCCACGTGACGGTTGATTAGTTATTCGCTGCCGGCACAACACGCGGCGGGGTTCGAACTGCCAGTCGTACCGGCCCGGAAACCCCGCGCTCCACTTCCGGGAAGGAGCTGCGGCTTCAATCGACCTGCGCTATCAATCTGTTGTGGTCATTCGACGAGGGAATTCACGCATCGCCTGGTTGCCAGCTCGGCCAGTGAGGTCAAAAGCCTCGGGGGACAGAACTCTGCATTGGTCTCATCTGGGGCGAGCTGCTGTAATGTTAACGAGAGTTTCGCTTCGTATACCAACTAAGGAGTTGGTTAGTGAGTTTCTTATGGAACGGTTCGAGTAGTGCGTCAATGCTGTTCTTACGTCCTAATCTGTCTACAAAATTCAATTTAATGGCCTGTCTGACTCCGAATTCGGAAGTCTCAACTCTCCAACCGGGTCTGTCCCTCACCAGCCCCGTCTGACCCTGAGCGACCTCCTCTGACCTTGACCCACCCCCTCCCCGTTTCCGGCGGCCCTCTGACCGGCGTCCATTGACGGGCGGCACTAATGACCGCTCAGCGGCGGCGGTTTTTACTCGTCGGCCGGCGGCATTGGCAGCACCGGGAGCCCCCGGCGCCGCTGTCGGCAGGTATATGGGATTAATCAATACCGGCCGCACGGCGCGCTGCTGCCGTCCGCCGGTGGTAACACCGCTCCTGACGGAGCCCGACGGTGGAGGGACGCGGGGACCGTGTAAGGAGACCCGTGTGTTACCTACAGGAGAGTAGGTAGAGCTTGGGTAGAGCGGTGATGTGGGGATGGGCGTTAGTAACACGGGGTCGGTCAGGACGGTGGCTGATAGACGAGACGACGTTCAACGGTGAAAAACTGATGGAATACGAGCCGGGAAAAAACAGAAGGTGTATTTGACGTTCTTATGTAACGTGAGCTGCTGCTAATTAATGCGCGACTTTGCTCTCGCTCTGGCTATTTGCTGAAGGTTCAAATATTTAATGCATTGTTTCATCTGTCCAGTCGCTCTGATGAGTGTCGTCGAGAGAAACTTATCCTGAATAGTAACAAACCGATAGTATATACCAACCGATACTGAATAGTAACCAACTCAAGCGTCGTACGTAACCAGCATCTGGTCCGCTGTGCCAACCTTCTAGAGATTTTGTCACGAAAACAACATACACATAAATATGAGAGCCAAAGTAACATGTAGGCGTAACATGTAACATGTCTGTGGGCGCTTTCCGCAGGTTTGATGCGTTGCTATTTTTGCTAACCGAGGGACTAGTGAGAGTATCAGCCAAATCCAATGATGGTTGCTGATTGCTGATTCTCCAATTCGGGATACAAGTCCTTCCGGCTGACAAGCTCGAATAGATATGGGTACTGGTAGGTACCAGCCAGGAGCTCTCCATTTCTAAATAGCTTACAGGGAAGTCTGGTGCGCCACCAAAACTATAGGTACTGCATGCGCACTGAGCAGTATGTGCTTGCTCGATAGCTAAACACCACTGCTGTTTCTGTCTCTAATTCGCATTAGTTCCAAAACAGCGTGATGTTATGGCAAAACCTTATTCACGATCAATTAACCTATCGTGAGTTCCAGCATCTAGGTAAATTATTCTCGAAAACACTTACGGATCAATATTGTGAATATTCTGACGACTGGGGACGGCCAGGTGACGTCATATCTCCGACAGCAAAAAAATACTCATGTCGATCTCCGTTTTTGCGCCGCCCAAATGTCCTGTGTCCATACATGTTTGATCCGTTCCTTGTATTAATACATGAATGGCACGTATGTCATTACGGGAGGCCGACGGCGCCCGTTTCCTCGTGGGATGAATTATGGGTGAGGTCACATTTCCCCTGCTCAGAGGGTGAGGGAGGGGGCGTTTGATGGACACGGTCAAAAGGGCAGGTCGTTGGTGGTACATACAGGGTCATCTGTCACCGTTTGCGGGGTTGGTGGAATTAGTAGAATGGAATTAATAGGAGTACCAGCAGGATGGGGATTAGAGGTCGGACTTTTGGTCGGTATCGGGTGTGTCACCAGTTTTCCGTCCACTACTAGGCTGGACGGGAAACTGGTGGGCTGGTGATGACGCAGGTTATGTCCGCTGAGAGACGTAATCAGCTTAAAGCTCAGCGATTTTCTTCCCACAGCAACTGTTCCGTCCATTTCTGTTTTTATACCACCAGGTAAGACTTGATTGGCATTGCTAAACGATGGTGGTTGGCTTCGATTTTCGTAAATACTGGATGGTGTAGTCGCTTAGCCAATAGCGTGCCAAAAAAGTTACCACTGATGAAGGATCACAGCCAAACACTATTGAATTGCGCTGTTACGCAGCTTTATCTGTGGGAAGACGACAGGCCCTTACTTCTTGTGCCATTTTGCATACGAGACCTTTTAGTGCATTCGAAAGTCCTTTTTGTTTGAGCGTTTAAAGCTGTAAACTCAGCGTCAGTAACGATTCACATCCGTTCTAGTGTATAAAAATATATTGGCTACCTATTTACTATCTACCCGCCAATAGCAAACGTTTACAAGAACCAGTGAATGAAGAAATATCTACGTGCAAAGCGACCGGAGCAGCTTATGGTCGTTGCCAATAGATGGCGTTAGCTGTTTGCGCCTGTACACATACTGTACCGCAGTACATAAGGAAGCGCTCAGCGCAACTTCACTGGGAGAAGTGTTCAGAGGTGGACTTAATCGGAAAAGAAAATAGAAGTACTGTCAGAGCACCGCAGCATATCAGTTACGTTTTGTGGACGCTGAAAATACTGGCCCGTTTGCAATGCGGCTGTTGCATGCGAGTGAAGCTTCGCTGACTGCTGGCCGGCCAGCGCCGCATACAGATTACAAATGATTCATTTAAAACGATATAGGAGGCAGGAGATGTGCTGAATGAAGCATAGTGGTGTGGTGAGGTGGGTGAAGTTCGCATACGATCTTGCTTCGTGGCCCAAGATTGCTTGCATGGCCTGCTCTGACCAGAACTGGGCGTCGAGTGCTTGGACACACTCACAATCATTTCAACTATCGGTGACGTGGATAGCTAAGACATGCTTTGGTATCTGCATCATTTTTTATCTGCTTTTCAATTTTAGGATTTCGTAGCGTTTGAATATGAACTGTTCCTGATAACTGAGTGAGTCGTCGCGTGCGTGCAAACTTCGAAGGTGGATGCTTTTGACAATTGTCATTTTAAGGATACCGACGGTCCATTTTTCGACATACTTATATTATACTTATATTTACTTACTTATATTTTTATATATATACTTATACTTATACTTACTTATATACTTATATATACTTATATTAATGAGATTTGTATGGGCGTTCGCTCCACTCACACTAGTCACACTGATGCAGCTGTTGTATAATGACTGTATAATGATTGGAATGATGACGCTGACGTCTTACCTTCCAGCCAGAGACGATGTCTCGGTAGTAGGGGAAGTTTTCGGTGATCCACTCGTAGATCTCGGCCAGCGTCATCTTCTGCTTGACGCTGCTCTGGATCGCCATCGAAATCAAATTGGCGTAACTGGAAACACAGAGAGACGACGGTGAAAAGTGGATTGTGAACAGCAAGCGGGTGTGGTTTTTAGTTTTAAGCCGAGAGTTTGAAGTTCAGATGAAGATCTTTGAATAAAACAACGATCACATATAGTTACTGCTGGCTTCGGTCAATATCTTACGGATATATCAAGCTCAAAATTGTACTTGCGCTGCTTATAGCGATAGTATTCAAAAGTCAGTTGGGTATAACGTTTGTTATGTATTAGTTGTGCCCAAAGCTATATTATCTTGAATGGTTTTCAGCACAGTTTTGAGAGACATTATGAATATAATAAGAGATATTAACCTTACTCTCATATTAGCCAAAAGATATAAAATTTCAAAAAGACAAAATACAGTTTCGGGAGCTTTCGGCTTTGCGCCTTTATCAACCAATATCTCTTATTACAAAGCTATATTGCTAAAGACCTTGGGTTGTATAGCCCCCCCCCCCCCCCCCGTTGAGTGAATACAAATCCCTCTGATCGCCGAGTGGTGTGGCGCCCCGTCAGCTCGTCACTCAGCCCGAGCCGTCACCGCTGACCCCGCTCCCCGTGTGCAGCGCCGCCGCCCCGCCGGCGCCGCTCCCGAGTCGCTCCAAACACTCATTAGGGAGCAGCGGCGGCGCGGCGGCGGCGGCCCAGTGTTCGGCCGGCGGCGCTGTGTGCGGACCGGCCCGTGAGCCCATTCATCGGCGGCCGCGGCGGCAGGTGCACCTATCGATTGTGGCCGGCCGGCCGCCGACCGCCGTCCACGGCCGACCAGGACCAGGTGCCCAAGGCCGGCGGCCGGACCGCCCAGCTGGGCGGCCCAGGACCGGCGGTCGGACCAGACCAGCAGTCTGGGTCTGGGTCTGAGTCAGCAGTCCAGGAGACTGAGGAGGTAGCGACGGGACACTCAAAAGCGGCGAGGGTGATTGGATTAGTTTGGGAAATACCTATATCTGTGGTGCATATTGAGTGACTGACACTGCTTAGTGATAGCCAAGTTATGTAATGCGAGTGTGTTATATGTGAAGCTACACTGAGCGGATGCTGAGCGGGGATGTTTAGAATTAATGGACGCGCAAAGCCACCGAAGAAGCGTTAAATTGGCGATGTAATTATCATTAATGTCTTTCTGGTGAAACACAAGTAGCTACGCTTAGGTCAGACGAATCCTGAATGCGTCATCACCGTTTTGTTTTATACTGCGGTTCTGATAATGCGGCCCGATTTACTGCAAAGGTCTATAATCCATTCGCGTTACCATGCGTCTTTACGCCAGCAGCGCACATAACTTTTCAATCAATGCTTTTGTTCAATCAAATAAAGTCATGATTATATTGAGACCAGCATTGAAATAGATGGGAAAGAAAGTTTAGAGTGCTCGACATATGGAACGTATATTTAAATAACTAACACTATATGCTGCGTGCAGCGTGCATCCCGCTTTCTGATGTTCGTTATACCTTCATACGGCAGCAGTTGGTTTCACATTTGATCCCGTGGTTCAGAGCTCCGGATGGGTGTCGCTTTGTAGGTATATGCCTGGTATGACCCGAGCTCTACCAATGATATCAATATCAGCATTTGAACATTGGGTCTATGTCGCCGCATGCTAAGAATGACTGGCATCCAAAACAACCTGCATGTATTTCCGAATGGAAAATGCACACACAGTTACTGACATGATTAAATATTTCATGCATGTAAAAAGCATGTAAGCATGTGAAAAAGGGTTGAGGTCTGGTGCACTGGTCCGGAGCTCCGGCCTATTGGTAAAGTATATCATTTCGGTCTGTTGGTCCTATTCTGGTCTGTTAGCAAGCCGTGTCTATTTCGGAAAGGTTACTGACGCCCGGTCACGTGTTATGTGTTTTCTGTACATTATCGCGAGCTGCGAGTTCCTCCATTGTTCACCCCAGTTCGGTCGATACAAGTACACACACATTCCTTACAACGACCGGATGTACACGATGGCGCCGGGGCCTTGGTTATTTTCGGTGACCCGTTACACATATGACACAGCCAGGCCCACTGATGGTAAAACGGGCAAACGGAACTGGAGTATTTCAAACAGAGCTGTAATATTTCTGCAGTGGTCCACTTACAAGTCCTCCTCGATAAATGGTGTCGTATATCAGTTTGTATGCTTGCTTATATCACTCGCTGCGTAGGCATCTAGTTTCGTTGCAAATTATTTTAGCTCCTGTAACATTTTTGGTACAGTAAGGATTTCTTACTGATATGATAGGTACCAGCTTAGATACTAGATAGAAGTACTTATCGATTTTGGAAAATATGCATTCATATAGGTCTTCAAATTATGCACGTATGTCCATGTGATAAAGGGTGCCGTGTCAGTGTGCACTGCTCTCATTCTATGATAGACGCACATTTGCAACTTTCGTCATCCTGTGTCTGATGGATCGCCCTCCATCCATACCCCAACAATCAACATGCGACCTTTCCCACCCAATACACCGGCGGTCAGCCGGCGCAAACACCCCGATGACGTCACGGCCGCCGGCTGCTGACGTCACTGGGGGGCCTGCTGTGAATAGTCTGCTGGCAGGTGTACATATAGAGTGGCAGCGCCGCCACGGGACCACGCGTACAAAACCGAGGGTCGGTCTGTCGAGTGTCGGTATAATGAGCTTCCGGAGACCGCACCGGGTCCACGGTATACCAGTATAGCGCCTTTTGGGGCGACTAACGGAGCGAGCGAGGGGGTGAGTCTTGCACGTGCGACATTTCGAGGGGGTACCTCCAACTGACTTGTGCACGGCACCCTACTGACTGGTCTCTAGCGATGTGCCAAATTTGGGCACAATCGGCCCAGCCGTTCTCGAGATCTGGAAGCGGCATCCTGCACGTGCGCACGTGCAAAATGGGTCCCAACTGACTTGTGCACGGCACCCTAGTAACCGGTCCCTAACTGTGTACCAAATTTGAGCGCAATCGGTCGAGCCGTTCTCGAGATCTGGAAACGACCCCTGCACGTGCGCACGTGCAGCGGCACCCCAACTCTGGCACATGGATATGCAGTGCCTAGTGGGTGCCTACCTACATGCCAACTTTCAGCGCAATCGGCCAAGTAGTTACCGAGATATTGCAACAATTACAAAAGTGACACCTCTTCGTTTTGCACGTGGCACGTGCATAAGGGGTCACCCACATGCATCGGGAATAGTCCAATACTTGGTAGAAGGAATGAAGCTACCCTACAAAAATTACCGCATGTAAATCGGTCAAGTGGTTGCTGAGATATAAGCCTCGCAAAAGCGTCCGCACGGCCGGCCGGCCGCTCATACTCAGAAATTTCCGTTATTCTACGTAAGACTCCGCTCGCTTCGCTCGCTCCGTAATGAGGAAAGCCTACAGCTGTGGACAGCAAGTACCTACTCGGAAGTCGGAACACCATAGTGTGGAATATGAAATAGCCTTGTTGCAGAGAATAGGATAGGACTCTAAGGAGGCATGAGGGTCGTGTGCGGAGGAATAAGGACCCATACGGTGCGTATAGATCTCTTTAATGTGGTAGGAGGCTCCATGATGTGTTAGAGGACCAACCACTCTTTGCGGTGGATGTGTTTGTCTGCATGGGCGTAGGAACCTCACGAAAAGTGTGTGTGGGGGGGGGGAAGGGAAGTGGAGGGGGCAGCGAAGCTTCAATGCCACTTTGTGGGAGCCCCAATATCCCTATGAAGAAATTCTTTGCAGTTTTGTGCTCATCTCACCTTGCTGAACCATTTCCTGCTCTAAGTTTTGCATTCAAATAAAAAGAAAAGATTTTTTTTCTTAAAAAATTGCCGAAAAGTAGGGGAGCCATGCCCCCCGGCCCCCCTGTTCCTACGCCTATGCTTGTCTGGCTCAGCCTTCACAAGCGGAAATTTTACTTTTCTTTTTTCATTAGCATTTAAACCACTTGCCAATGTTTCATGTCCAGAAACTGGTGCATGGTGCCTGTTCCTTCAGTACGAGTGTAGCTATCCGGCTCAGCGCATTCTTGGTCGGCTTTGTTGCATAGTTTCACGTAAATGGCGTCCATCACGTTGTGACAATGACACGCGACAAGTCACCGCTAATCACCGTCAGCGTCGGCTCGCAGTTTGAGCCGAACCTCGGTGTGGTCAGGCGTGTCATCATGACAGATACATCACTAGTGGTGGGGATTGGGCCTCCGCTTATCCGTCCATTACCCTAGAGTGATCCGTCCATTAACCTGGAACCCCTGAGCCCGAAATATTCCGGAGAAATATGTAAGCGTGCCCACCTACGATGGCGGATTATCAACCATTTATTGTGACGGACATTTCCGGCGGATTTAAAAGGTAATCTGACATTTGCAGAGGTAGATAATATATTGGATGAAATTTCCCCAAAGAAGGCTCATGAACAGGGGCACCTAATTACAAATGAAATTCATCGCAGCTCGATGAAGTCCCCGCCCCTCCGGTTACCTGTAAAGACGGCCCGACGGCTAACCAGGGTGGTTTGTCATTAAATTAATCCAGTGGGCAGTCCTTCGCTCACCCACATTGGCGGCGGAACGGGGAGGGCACCGGGGCGGCGGGGCACCGTGCCCCCCTTTGATTTTGGCATTTTGACATTAGCCCTATGGGCGTTGCATGGAAAGAATGGGACCAAAAGTCGGCAGTGTCCCCTCTTAATTGAAGGTGTTCCGCCGCTACTGCTCACCCGTAGGGTGGTTTGCCTTTGACCGTCGATTGAACCCAGTTCTACCTGTTATAGGACGGTTTGCCGTCACTTGAATCTAGTGAGAAAAAAAACTACTCGCCTTCAGGGTGGTTTGCCGTTGGCCGGCTGGCCGTGAGTAGTGCTCCCTTGGTTCGCCTATTGGGCGGTTTGCCGTTGTGCCTTCACGTCTCACCTGTAGGGCGGCTTGCCGTTGGCCGGCGGGCCGTCCCCAGTCGAGTCGGCCGGCGCTATCTGACTCCTGCCATCGTCCAGAATCTGCGCCGCGGCAGCCACCGTCTGACTGAGGCTCTTCTTGGCGCTGAGCTGGTGCATAAAACGACACAAAACGGTGTCAGGTCAGCTAATGAATTGAACAGTCGCGGCTGGGACAAGACAGCTTCGGTGCGTCTGGGGTGCGGGAGGGGAGGGGTGGGCTGTGATTCATCTTGTGTCCGTAATCTGATAGAAATGTTGGAAACATTGTTTTATCTTATTCCAGGACAGGTTTTTAAGAATTTTATGCATGATAGGTACCCACGACCCATGAAGCGTGCAAGGAATGTTGTGCTGTCTAAGTCCTGCCATGTTTAAGCAAACAAACTAGAGCGACTTGCAAAAGCACAGACGACTCAACAACTGACATTTAGCTGATGACAGAGGCCAGTTGTAATTCTTCGTCATCGGGTAGCTTAGTGCTCCTCTACGACGCCTTTTGTTAGTTTACTGCTATCAAAATGGACAGCAAATGAACCCTTAAAGTCAGCGGTCAAACATGCACGTGGATGCCTAACATGCCTGCCTGGCATTCCGTCGTCTGATTTATTAGGTAGCTGAGTGATGGCAGAGTTGAGTTACAATAGTAATTTAGAATACTGCCAACCACAAAAAGTATGATGCCAAAAAGGGTCGTTTTTTCGTAGCTGGCACAATTTTACAATGCGCTGATCAATAAGCTCATGCGTCACTAGCCACGTTTTGCTTCGATTTCTGCGAGATTTCGGTTCCGCGTTTTTCAGCTTCTGAGTCTTTTCGTTATGAACTGCCTCCGCGTGGATGAAGTCATAGCAGCTATGATTACAAAGCTAGCATAGTCATCCTAAATAGCCAGTGTTGCCGCTGCGCCTCAGTCCCACCTCAGCTCCCCGCATCAGTCCCCCAAAGTTGCCTCACTCCCCGCCTCAGTCTCTGAGGACTGAGGGAGCAGTCCCCTCAGTCCTCCTCACTCCCCGCCCCAGTCCTCGCCAGTCCCCCGCACCAGTCCCACCTGCGGCAGCCAGTCGATGGCGGTGAGGCTGCGGTCCAGGAACGTCTCTCCGCCGGCCATCGGCTCGGGCGGCGCCGCATCGGGCCACAGGCCGAGCGTGGACGGGTCGCACACCTCCACCGTGGCGGCGGCCGCCTACCGGCTGCGGGGGAGAGGTCATGTAGAGGTCAAACACCTCCACCATGGCGGCGGCCGCCTACCGGCTGTGGAGAGAGGTCATAGAGAGGTCACAGAGGTCACAGAGGGTCACACACCTCCACCGTGGCGGCGGCCGCCTACCGGCTGTGGAGAGAGGTCGTGTAGGGGTCATATAGAGGTCACACGGGGTCACACACCTCCACCGTGGCGGCGGCCGCCTACCGGCTGCGGGGAGAGGTCATGTAGGGGTCATATAGAGGTCACAGGGGTCTCAGACCTCACGGTGGCGGCGGCCGCCTACTGGCTGAGGACAGAGGTCACAGAGGTCAAACACCTCCACCGTGGCGGCGGCCGCCTACCGGCTGAGGAGAGAGGTCATAGAGAGGTCACAGAGGTCACAGAGGGTCACACACCTCCACCGTGGCGGCGGCCGCCTACCGGCTGTGGGGAGAGGTCATAGAGAGGTCAAACACCTCTACCGTGGCGGCGGCCGCCTACCGGCTGCGGACAGAGGTCATATAGGGGTCATAAAGTGGTCATATAGAGGTCGCAGAGGTCACACACCTCCACCGTGGCGGCGGCCGCCTACCGGCTGAGGAGTAAGGAGAGAGGTCATAGAGAGGTCACAGAGGGTCAGGGAGATCACACAAGGTCATAGAGGTCACACAAGGTCGTAGAGGTCACAGGGGTCACACAAGGTCACAAAAGTCACACAAGGCTGTGCGGAGTCAGATTCCCAGAGATATCAACACATGTTGCATGTCACATGGGGCTTCAGAAGCTATGTGGGGTCAGACGAGATCACAGGAGGGCTCACACTTCACAGTGTCATACGGGGTCACACAACAATATCAGAGAGCTCACATATGATTACAAGTTGTCATATGCCACCCTTCTTTGCTTTTTTCATTCGTAATGTGTTAAAATGCGTACCAGTTTAGGAAAAATTGAACGCGTAAAAAGCAAAATTTCTGAACTGATATGCTGAAATACTCGAGAGACAGCCAGCTATTGCGGCGTCTGGTGAGTGGTAGCATCAGCACCTATTTCTCCAGAGATATAAAAAGGCTCAATATTTAGAAATTGTCTCAAGCAGCAATATCGCTCGCCACCTTCACCCTGAATGTGTTTGGCTGCTGAACTTTTAGTTTTATGGTTGTTAGGGCACACAATAAGCGACCGTTTATAATCAGCTAATGCAATGCGTGATGTGCATTAAAAGTCCTGACGACAGCCTGTAGCAATATGCTGTTCCATTGCTACCCGGCAGCCCATTAAGGGCAGTTTGGACGGTAGGTACTGAAGCAGATCCTGCTGTTAAACCATATATATTTGTTCCGCTGCCCAAATCACTCCAACGACCGATAAGCTTAATCTATGGGTAATCCATGGGATCATTGCCGACTTAGCTAATGCAGTACGGCCCGATGCAAATGTAAATGTTTTGGCTGGACACCAACGCTGTGATCATATTATCTTCACTGACTTGTCAATGAGAGACCATGCAAACGCCAGGAACAAAGCGTCATACTTGCACAAAATTATAGTTTTAATCACGCTGTACGACAAAGAATGGACCAAAGTCTTAGACAGTTCACCACATTCAAAGTATTTTACACCTTTTCAAACGGATTAGCTCACAGTGAAACGTAAGGCCTCCGCCTTACCTGTACCGAAGCCCCTCCCTCGTGGTAATAACCGGCACCGTGGTCGTGACATTAATTAATTCCCGGTGCACGGGAAACTGGCCCACTGTGCGGCGGTCAGCCGGGCGGACCGTCCCCTGTCGATCGATGGCGACTGTTCGCACGGCGCCTCCGTGCGGTGCGTGCACGGAGCACATACATATGCGCACGGTGCGGTCCCGGCGGCGGCGGCGCGGGCCGCTCTGACCCTGGGCGGCGGCGGCGGCGGAGGCGGCGGCGGCACGCGCCACTTTGGTATACCGTGCCGCTCGATAGCCGCGAACGGGTCAGGGGCACCGGCACAGGGGGACCGAGGGGAGTGGTCACCGGTCAGGGGCAGCGGCGCCAGCGGCACAGGATGGACTGTGCTGCTCGTATGATAGTTCGTCCTCCGGTCCCTAGATGGCACTAGTAGTGGGCGCCTGGAATGATGCTGCACCGCACGACAGGGCATGATGTGGTGGGCATCAGACTCGGTGAAAAATAAATATTTTATTGCAAAGACCACCCTGAAACTTTTTAATTGGCGCTTGATGTACCGTTGGGTAAATTAAGCAAATTACATCCCACCCAGTAAATTCTTTGTAAATTCCCATCCAGATGATTGCGGCTCACTTCCAGGTAGCAACAGCGTCCGTGATTGAGCCAGACTCGTAATTTAAAGCCCCGGAACGAGTGGCGTATCAACTCCGGCACGATACCACCGGAAACAGAGTTTGGAGGCATAAAGAGCGCCGTGCATTAGTGGAACCGGAGGGGCTCATAGGCGGCCACTAAGCCTGATTAATCAATTTTCAACCGGCGACCCATGTCGATACAAGTTGGAACAGTCAAGAAGAAGAAAGTCTCAGAACGTGGGAGTTGTTTTCCTTCCGAGTCTGGATAGTGATAGATAGCACAATTATTTTTTAATCAACCAATTATTTGCGGAATAATTTCGAGCGAGCGCGATGGGAGTTTATACGGGTTCATAAGGGTATTGGTATTGGGAAATATTGGTAACAGGAAGCATAGAGAGGATGGTAAGGAACTGTGGATGTTCGGGCACTGCATTTTCGCCTCCCGAGCGCGGGTGACCTTGAGAACCGCCGTCTGTTGCGGCCCCAAAGACAAGCCGGCGCACTGAGGCGGCTGCTTTGCGGTGCCTAAACACCCACAGTTCCTTACAATTTCCCAACTATGACAGAAAGCATATATCTAAGACGCGATGAGAGTTTGGACAATGACAACGTTTTTTAACGCCTTTTTAGCACTTCGTTAGTGCCTACTCCGAAACTAGCCGCAGTGTCAGCTGACCATGAAATTCTCAGTTACGCCGAACCGAGTGCATACTTTGCCGTATTTAGGTAACCGAAGGTTTGTTGTCAATAGTTAAAACACTATTCGTTAGAAATGTGTTTTTCTATTGAAAACAAATCTGAGTTCCCTGACAGTTTGGCAAATGCTTATGCATACCTGCTTTAGGTATTTTGAGAGAAGGTGATAACTGATAAACGTTAGGTACGTTTTCTTTATTTAGGAATGACCGTTAAATTGTTATGTTATAAAATGTATCGATGGTGGCTGCGCTGCTCCCCGTCGCAATGTTTTGTAGGAATAGGTAAATGCGAACAAGGCACCGTAAAATTATTGGAAATTAAGTATGACAGTGCTTTAGGAAATCTAGATCTAGTGTAAAATCACGTTGATAAAACTTGATACATGATGTGAAATAAGCTAGGATGAAATGGTGCAAGCTATTTTATTAAGGAAAAAGACATAGAATGGACGAGCGCCTAATTTTATAAGCACTACAATTTCAACATTCTCGGCCCAGCACTTTATCAAGTGTGTCTGCATTTCGGCGGACACGCAGCCGACGAAACACGTGCCCTTTGCCCATCGCATGCCGTAAGCTCACTATATCGTCGGCGACGCCAGAACGGCAACGGCTCCTTCCCACCCCGCGCGGCCCCACTTACCGGCCGGCCGCGGTGACTTCATAGTCGACCAATCACTGGGCCGTACGTACGGCGGCCGGCCAATCGGCGGCCGCATGACATCACCGCCGGCCAATGAGCGCTCTGGGCGGGCGACCGACCCGCGTGCCCCCGGGCAGTGACGGCCGCCAAACGAGGCGGGTGGGGGGAGGGGGGCAGCGAGCGTGCTGCCGGCCATGAACGAAGGTGCCCGGGGCGCACACGGCAATGGCCGGGCGTTTGACTTTCAGTCGCTGAATTCATGGCTAGTCACGCGCTGACCCGAGCGGACAGGCCAAAGGCAACCGGTGTAATCGCGTTACTTTTGTTCATGTAACGGTCAGTCGGAGTGAAAAATTGCCCTTCTAGAGGCAAGGGGTTGAAGGATACGTTAACTAAGCGTAAGATCTGGGCCGTGAAATTCAGTCATCGGTAGGGCTTGGTGGATACGAACTTCGGCTAGTTCCTTCCGGACGCTTTTAGTTGGCCTATTTTAACGATAACAAGAGCGGGTAAAAAAAAAGATGGTCAAGGAATTCGTGCAAAGAACTGCATCTCAAGTTCCATTCACATCAGGCACACAGTTCTCAGAAGTCTCTCGTGACTATAAGTCTTGACTCATAAGTCTCTCATCTTGCAATGCTGCTAGTTTTGAGCAACAGGCCGATTACGCAATATTTGTAATGTGGAAGCCCGAACTGCGATAAGCTCAGATGCTAATCTAGAATTAATTCATTGGTTATGTAAAGCCTTTAATGAGGTAACATTTTAAGATAACTTTCGCTGGTGCCTGGTTCCAAACTAGACTCTGATATTCACATCTGCCTACCATCGATTGAGCCTAACCTCTTGCTGATCGGGTAGGTATATAATATACAGTATTACGTGCCCGGTGGGCCGGCCTGGGTCACGTTTTGGGTCTGGTCAGCTACCTCACTTCACGGGAGGAGGGGGTGAGGGAGTCGGTAATTGATGGTGGGCCTACGATCGACCCCTGGTCGACACACCGTGTCACTCTGTCTGGTGAATACGCGGTGGTCGATGGTGGGCGGATCACACAGCCGCTGACCGCACACAGAGAGGGTAATGTCGAGGTCAGGTCATTAGGGGTCACGAGCGGTCGCGAATCGGTCACTGAAGCAACGATGGAGGTCAGGTCTCGAGGGGACCGAGCGATCGAAGACTGTAATGTTGATGGTAACTTTTGTGTAGGGTGACGCAAAAAAATAAACTTTTTGGCACTAATGTTACGGTATAGTCACGGGGGAATAAGGCGCATGTATGCACGTTATGACGTCATGGGCTCAAACCAATCACGTCACAAGTACACGCTTACATCAGATGACGTCACAGACAAACACGTTACACGCACCCGTGCACCGCTGTCCCGGGGCGCTGCCGACCCGGGGGCCGTGCACGGGTGGAGGGCTCGGCTTCAAACATGCCGAGGTTCGGCTCATCGACCGGCCAGTTCCTGGAAATTCGCCACTGCCAAGACGCCGCCCCTCCCCCTCCCCCCACAGCTGAGTCACCGGCCGGGGAGACTGCTCGGCGGCGGCTGGGGGGCCGAACGAGCCCCCCCCCCCCCGCCCCGGGGCACCCACCGGTCAGGTAATCAAACGGGATGATTCACACAATCAATGGTGCACGGCCAGCCGGCCTGGCGACCCGGCCAGTCACCGGTCAGGTTTGTTGGACTCCGAGGGACGCGCGGTGGAATGCGGTGCCACAACACGGCGGTCAGCCGCACCGCCGATGGGGTGATGGCCGATGGGGATTTGATGGTTGTAAAAGGAGTCGGCGTTGTGCGTTACATGTGTCACTGGTTTGTGGAGCAATCTGTGCGAACAGACCCAACTGTGTGCGAGCACTCAAGCTTGAGATATGGGACTATGGTAAACATTATTGACCGCAATGCTTTGAGTTTTGTGTTATGTTTCATTTAAGTCGAATATTTTCAATGGGAGTTGGGAGTGCATAAGTAAGCATTTGTAACGCTGTTGTTCGCCCATCATTTCTGGGAAGTTAAATGCTTCTCATTTTTAAGTCGGTGGGTAGCGTGCATGCAGGCACACTGCTTATGGAATTTAAGATAATAAATAAAACTCACTTAACAAGGAAATTTTATAATATAAATCCCCTGAGTCGGCTTCAGAATTCAGTTCCAGGAACCGCAGCTTCGAGTCATAACCCGCGCGGGGCTGGGGGGGGGGGGGTAAATTTTACCCCCCCTCGCGAATTTTTGCGATATCTCAAAAACGGCGGCGCGCAGCGCCGCCAAACTTTCTGTACCTTTTCTTACATCAATTTGACACGTTCCCTGAAAATTTGAGCGAAATCCGTCGGAAAATTTTTGAGAAATTGACGTTTTAGTGACGTCATGTTCGCCATTTTCGCCTCAAAAACGGCAAAAGTTCAAACGCCGCTAACATCTTCATTTTTAAAGGAATCAAGACGTAACAAAAAAGGTTATACGTAATTTTACTTTGTCTATCAAATGGCTATCTCGGTTTTTTGAAAATTTTGGATTTTGGCCTAAATTTTTTCAAAAAACTGACTTTTGGGAAAATCATTATAAAATCCAAAATTTTGAGTCTATCGAAAAAACCGGAATATATGTCAGAGAAGTGGTCTATGTGCACCTACATACCAAATTTTAGAAGAATCGGTTCAAAAATGTGGGAGTTATTCAAAATTTTATGACGTCACGACACACAAATTTTTTGAAAAATGACTTTTTTGGAAGTTCTAGACCTCGTACGAAAACAAAAATAGCACCATTCGATTCGCCGTGAAAAACTGCATCAGATAGACACCTTTTTAGGCCTTAACAACCAACTTCAAAATTTGACCTCACTTGACCTGACCTCGACCTGAAATTCATCCAGAGGTGGTCCATATCACTTATTGAGTGTGCCTATTGAATTCTATGAGTAAAATGACCCATAAAACATGTGTCGCACATGCCCTTTTCTATATTTTGTTTTTTGGTGACCTGACCTGACCTGACCTGACCTTGACCTTGACCTCTGAATGATATTGTATGCAACGAATATTGTCTTGGTAGCCTAAGAACACGTTTTGGGCGATCAGTCTCAGTCCATGACTCCATTCTTCGGCAACTACGGTGCAAGGCCGATACTGTAGAAACTTGCAATTTGTACCCTTGACCTGACCTTGACCTTGACCTCAAAATTTAAATTAAGTACATGTTTTTAGTAGTTCGTGATGAGAGCTTTCGATTGGCGTTTGAATTTTCCAAATCGGACCATTAGTTCGGGAGATAACAGGGGGGGGGGTAAAATTTACCCCCCCCCCCAGCCCCGCGCGTTCGGCTGGAGACCCCAGCCCCGCGCGGGATAACACACAACACACAAAAGGCACTATGAGTAGGTGGGTATGAATTATGATTATTGAGAACCACCCCGTATAGTGCAGTGGCGGAAACCAAGCTGCATTACATTAATAAAACGGGCGCCTTCACGACTTCTTCGACATTTGTGGCACGACGAAACCACTAGGAACGTGACGACCGCTCCCGATGTGACAAGCGCGATAACCTCAATGATGAAATAAATGAAGAAATGTGGAGCATCGCCAACTGTCAGTCAACTTTGAATGACTAGCCCAAGGCAATGTGTCAATAGTTTACCGCCGTCTTCCGTGATTAGTTCAACCAGATTTCGGCATGTCCTGGCTGTCAGAACTCATGATCTTAAGAGTCAGCAGATCCTGGCGGAGAGCCGTCTTTAGCGTCCGTGTTAATTAGGGCTTTTGTAAAGCTGGTAAACTCGCGCTACTAAACGGATGGAGAAGGGCTTATTACGCTTACCTACAAATGGCTGGTCAATCTCAGGTAAAGTTCAGTAGGTATAGATGGAATCATGGAAGTAGACAGTAGGTATTTAAAGCAGTTGGTCGACTTATAATGTTGGCCATTATTTTCCACCTAACCGATTCGTGGTCTTGGATGGGAAATATTACCATATGTTTCTTTACCATTATTTCCCACCTAATCGATTCGCGGCGTAGGCATGGAAAATTTACTCTGATGATCTGATCTACGAGTGCTCCTGCTTGCGATCCGATAAGACGGCGACCTGCCAAGCGTCAGTGTGACTATGTCCTCTCCAATCTCCAGCCCTTATATATCCATCGGCTCCTGATCAACAAAGCGGCAGGGGATAAACTGTGTTCGAAAGTCTGCCCGAAATTATCGCTATGAGTTATTGGGTGCATTTTGCTCTGGATGAAGTAATGGGTAGGGACATAAACGTCTTCTTCCCAAGTCGCCGGACGCCGCATCATGGGTTTTCTTAGGTTTGATGAACTGTGCTGTGCATAGTGCCTGCTCTAACATGAAGTATGAGGATGCTAACAGCTGATGGGAGCCTTTTTCGTCATAAATGCCCGTCTCAGAGAAGCCAATGAGCTGGAAAATATACAAAGGGACTCATCTTACGTGCTTTAAATCGACCAACCTAAAATCAAATGAATTATATAATATATAGGTTGAGATGTTGATCGCGCAGCCTGGCATCTGAAACTAATTTGTAAAAAAGTTTGGTACTCAATTATCAAGCGCAAGTTTTGAAAACTGGGATCCCGCCTGCTAATGCTTGACCAAGTAGGCCTAATAGCAGGGTTCATTGAGAGCATCCACTATGTAGAATATTATGAGCACAAGCAATTGAACTTCTAATGAGGTGATTATATTGACCGTAGAGGTCTATGGTGATTATAAAAAGCCTGGGTGAATAGATATTTTCATATGAGGCTGATCCGCTTGCGTATATCAGATGGGACTTTTGGGTTCTTTGCTCCAACCGACAGCGTCCGAGATTGATGGAATTTTGTCGCTTTTCTCTGACAGAAAAAAAAAACAGAATAAGTTCGTTCTAGATTGCAGAGGAACGCATGTAACAAAGTGGAGCATGAAATCGTTTTTGTGTATTGGACAACCGTTTTTGGAGAGAAGGTATGCCCCCGCAGCGTCTATGCCACCTTTTTGGAACCGGTAGGATATTGGTCAATAACACGGCATTGGTTGCACTGAGAGCTGATATTTGTCATCAAGCTTTAGAAATAGTGCAAAAAGTTTGATTATGGCTTATTAGTTAATTTCCGGTTCTGCATAATTGCATGGGCATTCTGCATTCATCATGGACGTGGCAGGTGGGCGTAGTATTTAGTTACCTGCATCTAACCACAAAACTAAAAGGGAACTATCGAGGAAATGTTAGAATCAAAGAAGTGGTATTTATATGAGCGTCTATCAACGACCAACTAATACTCCTATTATAATACCTTTTCTGCTCTTTTCGAAGATCCCGACTGATTTCTTGTTTCTGATTTTCGTGCAGTTGTCCTATGACAGCCGGAAGATTTCCTAGAAACTATCTCGTTTCTTGGAGTCGCGAAAAATACCTCGGCACTCGCCATGAAGCCCGATATTGAGATTGAATGTCTCCTAGCGAGACCGAGCCGCCTCATTCTCAACAATTTATCTTGTTTCCCAAATCGCCGCATTCTCGGCGTTCCCGGGAATCGTTCTGCGTCGGCGGCGCCGCCTTCCAGCTAGTCGTACCGTTCGGGCGGCGAACGGCGGCGCTCTGGGGACAGACGGGCCGCCATCAGGGCCGAACGAGCCCGATCTCGGACCGGGCCATCATCATCCGGCGCGGGGCTACTGGGCGCCGTCCCGCGGAGCCGGCCATAAACCGGGCGGCCGGGCCTCGGCGGAGCGCCCCGTCCCCGTCCCCCTCCCCCCACCGCCGGTAGCCAGAAGCGCGGAGTGCTCTGTTCGCGGCAGAGCGCTGCGCCGTTCGTGGGAGCGGCTCGTTGGCCCGTTATCCCGGCACGGTTTACGGGCCGTATCTCACGATGGCCCCCCGGACGGGGCTGCCAACGAGTTCGTGGGAGACGGAGTCCGGTGGAAAGTCCCGATATTGCGCCCCGGCCCGGCCCGGCACGGCGGGGGTCTGTGGGAAGGATAAGGCCCGTGCCGCGGTACAGGGCACAGGGAATTGGAGGCTTTAGACGTGCCATGGAACGTTGTCTGGAAGTGTATGAAATACTCGTAGTGAGATAGTATGCTATAAGACATAGACATTTGTATAGCTTGTGCTTTGTCTCACGATAGGTAGGTACTTTGTTTCAGATCATCCCAAATTCGAAAACTCCAACCTAAGAGCTTTAGGACTCTCCTCCAGTATGTGCTTATGTAGGAGCTTTCAAAACTGTTTGATAATGAAGTTACTCAAAAACAATGTTGCTAGGGCTAAGCTCTACAGACAACCTAAATGCGAGAAAAAATACTTTGATCGCCGTTCTAGGGCCAGTAAATGATAACCCCTTTCGACTAGAACTTATGGAAAGTCATGCTATTTCCGCGAAGGTATCATTATTTTTTACCGTGGACGAAGTCTGAAGCGTAACATAACGGATGGACGCAGGAGATGTAAAGTGAAATGTTACGACAGTCTTGAACGTCAATCTTCAAAGTTTTTTTCTCCTAAAGGGGAACAACATATCGTGTTCGTTCGTTGGACGTTACATTGTAAACATTGAACATTCATTAGCATTCTTTTGCCTCACTAAAACAAAATGGTGACATCAGTTTAGTTTGACCTCGAATAGATGGCAATTCATTGTTTATCCAGCGCAGGGGCGGCGGATTCGGGGGGCAGGGGGGGGGGGGCAGCTGCCCCCCCCCTGGCAAACTCGTGGGGGGGCAAAAGTATCTTTTTGCCCCCCCCCCCCCATAATTTGTGACAAAGCTTAGACAAGAAACCATGTACCTGATGATTCTGTTCGATCATCTGAAGATGTAACCAGATGCCCATAACTTTATCATACGTTGCCTTTCTTAAATGGCAAGCGTTCACGTTCAATTGAAGTTTTCCTCTCTTCAACCTAGTTTTGGAGGCTTTATAAGCGTCAACGTGACGCAGCGGAAACCCAGGCCTTCAGTGACCGCTTCAGGAGCGACGGATACGGGGTGGCAGAGGAGGCATCGTTCCCTAAGAAACTTTTGGAGGAGGGGCAAACGTATATTCTTGCCCCTCCATATTGTGCCCTAAACATGAGGAAAATTTCCATAACCTGATATTGCAGCTATGCGCTCCTACAGTTTGTCCAACGGTGCCTTTTGAATATGTGTAAATGCTAACCATTTCCGCTTTATATCATTTTGTTTTTTTCTTTTCAGATTCGATTTATAGATGTGTGCAAGAGACGCAACTCATACCTTCAGTGGTCGTTTGCCTCTATTTTGTACCTACATAAATGCCAAATCGCAAGCGAGCGGAGACGGAATGGCTAGCCATTCGCTTGCGGGTAGTTAGGACTGATGAGCGCTCATAATAAGCCACTCCCCTGATTTCTTCGAGCGCAACAGTTTCCAGCGCATAAAATGGTAAACGCCGAGGTCGTACACATTGACGACATTGACCAATGCACGGTATGGTATGACACCCAAAGGCCAGTCATCAGAGATCTGCTTTGGGCATTCGGAGGCTTGTGTGGGGCCAGTGTAAAAACTGGATGTTCACAGTTCAGTATCCGCTTTATTTCAGTTTTCACTATTAAAAAAGTAAAAATTAGTGTTGGAAACTTTTGAGGGTTAGGGCACTGATCATTAGTGGGCCCCCCTCTGTCTAAAGGCTGACTATAGAATAAAGAGCATCAAACACGAACAGTAGCGGCGGAACACCTTCAATTAATGGCCTGCCGACTTTTGGTCCCATTCTTTCCATGCAACGCCCATAGCGCTAACGTTAAAATGCCAAAATCAAAGGGGGGCACGGTGCCCCGGTGCCCTCCCCGTTCCGCCGCCTATGAACACGAAAGCGAAATCTGAGGCATTTTGGAAAAATGAGTATGCCCCGCAGCGTCCGATAACTACCACCTTTCGGTGGGTCAAGCCAACGGGGCCCAAGGCTATAATGGCACTTTTATAACGATAGCACTAACCTTGTCTCACTTTTTGTTGAAGTCTGTTCCGAATGGTTTCGGCGACAGACTAGCTGCACTAAGGTATGTGCAACTTTAATTAAAGCCACCTGAGGCACCCTGACACCAGGCTGAATCTGGGTTGGAAATGCTCTTGCAGCTATCACTGGCCGCTGATTCTCGAGTGCCTGAATCGGTAGATGTCGTGGCAAAATTTGGTGTGATAATTTGGACCTTACCGCAGTCAGCGCACCCTTAACCCGCGCCCTGGTGGGGTCTGTTTATAACGCGACCTGGTGGGGGGGGGGCTATTTTTTGCCCCCCTCGTATCTCCGAAACTACTGGACGGATCCGCAAAATTCAAACGGCGTTCGAAAAGCCTGTCAAATTTGTCGAAGGAAACCAAATTTCATTGACCTCGGGGTCACCGATGACGTCACAGGTCAGGTCAAAGATGAAATGTTTCACCGTTCACGGGTCTTCTAGGGAATGCGCTATAATACCGAGGAAAACGCATTTTGTCGAGAATCAGCGGTAGGGCGTCAGTTGCCTAGTAGATATGTTGCTATTAGAGGTCACTGGCAATACCAGGTCAGGTCACAGGTCAGGTCACCAAGGGTCACAGGTCAGGTCACATGAGCCCAACTTTACTAAGGTTGTGTGAAGCATGTTTTATGGCCAATTTTTCATTTCCAACTCAATGGTGTTGGTTATAAGACTATCAGGTACGGCTTAGGTCACTTTCTGGTGAAGTTCAGGTCAAGGTCAGGCCAAAAAAGGTCAAATTTTAAAGTTGATAGTTTTGCATAAAATGGGTATTGATTCGATGCAGCTCGTCACGGGGAGTCTAATGGTGGTCTTTGTTTTGCGCTACAAGGTCTAGAATTGCTAAAAATTGAGTTTGAAAATTTGACGTCATCAATTTTGAACAGTTTTTTCGCTATAACTTCGCCAAAAAAAGAGGTATCAATCTCAAATTTGGTATGTGGATGGAAGGCGGTAAGGACTATCACATATATTCCGGTTTTTGCGAAATTCAAAAAACTTTTTGGATTTTTCGATTATTATATAAAAAAATCTACTTTTTGATTTTTGGGGGTCAAAATCCAAAAATTTCCAAAATCCGAGATAGCAGTTTTATAGCCCTGTCCAATCTACAGCTTTTATGTCTTCATCATTTTTCTGTATTTGCAAAGCTATAGGCCTGACAGCTCTTCCCGCGAAACCCTTTTTTGGGTCGAAAACGGCAGAACATGACGTCACTCTGACGTCATTTCCGGCCAACCTATCATAGCCTTTGGAAAATTTTTTGGTCACAATGTGTAAAATTGATGTCCGGGAGGGTACTGAAAGTTTGGTGACGATCGGCGCAGCGGTTCTGGAGATATATCGAAAAGTCTGGAGGGGGGGCAAAAAATAGCCCCCCCCCACCAGGTCGTGGGTTAAAGAAACGCCCTACCCAGAGCTTCTGGATTCTCGTTTCAGTCCACCGTTCCTTCACCCCAGCCCACCGCCACGCTCCCTCACCTCAGCCCTCCGTTCCCAGCTTGACGAGCATTTGGGCCTTAGTTAAGCCTTGCTGTAGGCTAACTGTATAAACCCATCGAGACAGCCCGTCTCGGTGGGCTTAGTTGGCGAGCTACTGCCTTGGGGAGGGTTTCTGGCGGATCGCTGTCCCAATAGGTTTAGATGCGACCGACTGTCTCTGAATGTTTGAGCGGTCTCCTCCCGCTGTGAGCTAGTTGATATCTGTCTCAGAAATACTTTTTAAAGGAAGGTTAAACGGAAATCGAACGTAAAATGAACAGAGGAAATGCTAACGAGTTACCTCATTGAAGGAAAGCGCTCGCCTACTTCAAAAGGTTTGGAACCGTTCTTCAACATCTAATATGCGATCGGGTTATGGCACAACTTTTCCCATTGAAACTTTTTTTCTAATACAGCAATACGAAAAGCGTTACATCGTCCACTGGCGGATCCAGGGAGCGGGCATTTAAAGCAAATATTTACTCTCCCTCCCCTGGCCCCTGCATCCCCCGAAATAGACAAAGCGTACCTTATGTTTCCTAATAATAACACTTTTATCAGGATTTTTTATTTTTTGCTTTATACTGTTCAGCAGTAGATCCGTAAGGAATCGGAATCCGAGGAGTTTTTGGATTTGGGACACTTTTTCGGGGGGTATGTCCCCTACAGTGTCGGAAACGTCTTTCTGGATCCGCCTATATGACATCATCTCGACTGGGATC